AGTACGATGGGCAGTTGACACTGCTGCTGATCGAGCTCGGCTAGGAAAGGAACAACAGAAGCCTACTATTAAGGTGCAAGAAAGATGGAATCCACCTGATGAAAGTGTACTAAAAATTAATGTGGATGCTCATTTCCTGGAAGTTCACGGATATGGTGGTACAGGCCTGGTTGTCCGAGATGTACGGGGTCATCTCGTCAGGGCACAGGCTTTGTGGTATGATTATGCATCTACAGCCAGATTGATGGAGGCATATGCAATCCGAGATGCAGTCAAGCTGGCTGCAATATGGGCTGGCGCAAGATCGTTGTTGAAAGTGGTGCCTTGGAAGTTATTAAGCTATGGAACTCTAAAGAATTTGATAGAGATGGTATCATGGGACCTCTACAGGAGGTGAAGGAGCCATGCGGGAACTTCACTAGTTTCAATATTTATTTTGTAAAGAGAGAAGCCAATATGGCTGCTCATTTATGTGCTAATCAGGCTAGTCAGGTTAGTAGGAGATGCCTCTGGATAAACTTTATCCCAGTTTTTCTCCACGATTGTATTACCCGCGAATGTATTACCTTTGAGTAACAATGCACAAGTGTCTGGTGGATAGGATGCTTTGTATTCTGGCCCGCCCGCACTCGCACATGCCCGACGGGACGGCCAACAGCGTTCGCACCCAAGCCACGAGTGGGCTGGAGCGACCACGGTCGATCGACTCGGCGATGGCCCACCAGGCACATCGAAACCTACGGGCCTTCTATAAAAGGCTCACCCCCTCCCGACCGGGTCGCCTGCTTGCCATCGATCGTCTAACCGCCTCACACACAGAGAAAAGGCAAAAGGAAACAAAAACATCCTAGAAGCCCCTCCCGACCGAGTTACTCCAGAGATTTCCGGCGGAACCTCGCGTCAGGATGGCACCCACGGCGACGGCGACGGCGGCGGCGGCGGATCAGAGCCAGCAGCACACCAAGAAGGCGGTGGGCCTGGCGGCGCTCGACGCCTCCGGCCACCTCTCCCCGCTCGCCATCACCCGAAGGTAACGCAACCCGCTCTCCATCGCCCCGCCCCGTACGCAGGGTTCCGGTGCCGCTGCCGCTGCCCGCTAGCACGCGCATCTAGCTAGGGTCATGGCCGTCGCTATGTTCGCGCGGGACGATGAGCCCGCGCCCGGCCCGCCACCGTACGTCGTGCGAAATCTGCGTGGCCGGGCGTTCGGACGGCTTTGATCCGGTCACGGCGGTCGTGGCGGCGCTGTGCGCCGTCCGATCCGCTTGGCGCTCGCCTGTTTTTTCCCCATGACACCCCTTCGTTGTAGAGTACGTACGTGAGATGCATGGTTCCGTGGAATAATCTATTCGCCTTAAATTGTCGCGTAGCCGACGATGGTTAAGTTTCATTGGATCTCGATCCCGCAAAGTTAATTAGCGAGATCTCTTCTTAGAGCAGCCCTCCAATATTCCGAAGCTGACCTCCCTGCGATTTTCAGCGATTTCGTCTTGAATAACACCCCGATATTCTGAAGGCGACCTACCTATGATTTTTAGCGAAATTGTGCGGCCGACAAGGTCGTTATTTGCACAACTGCTTTATCTCGCATTCTTTTGTTCCGATGCAGACTCTCAGAATAGTCTCTTTGGCATGTCAAATTTGTTTCTCTAGATTTATGACGGTGGCCATTAGGGATTGCTTCTTTCTGTGAATGTTTGTGAAATTTGGCCTTTGCAAAGGGGTACCTGAAAGATCAGGTGCATGCTCCCACCAAGCATATCCGTGCAAATAGAGTCTAAGAATTAGGCTAGTCATAGTGGGGAGTAACTTAGACTAGTGTCATGCATATGACACTAGTCTTTGTTACTACCTTCATAGTGCAAAGTAACATACAAGTAGTATCATAGATGATAGCATTTATTACATTATAGACTCATTTTGCTTTGGGTTGCGTTATGTTACAGTAATATATTATGTTACTCCAAACACCTCTTTCCTCATTAACTCTATGCTACATAAGCAAACCTGTCTTGAAATGCGCTATGTTAGTTGCTAAGTTACTTCCATTATGACCAGCCTTATTGTGTGTCCGGTACAACGAATTGTCATGTTTCTAGTACAACCATGACATTGCCACCACTCGCCAGTCATTTTCCTTTTGGAATCTTGACGCGACGCCACTCTTGGTTGTAAAAGGCACATACATGTGTCACTCTCAGTTATTTGTCACTGTTGGCGAGTACAGGAGTACTTGTGTGTGTGTGTGCGCGCGCGCGCGCGTCGCTTCCCTTCTGTATGTATGTGTGGTATGAATCGAGTCGCTCATGTGGGCAAGCCTCAACGGCACACCTGTTTCAGTGACTGCATTGATATGTAGGAATTGACATGCTTGGACTGGCCGGCAAGGTGGTTGTGGCGATTTTGATCATTTTTGTTATTAGCTTATTTGGATTGAAGCTTCTTGATCAGAAGATATAATTTCCTTGAGATTTTGCATTAGATCTGCACAAATAGTGAATACCTAACTACTTAGTTTGATTCGATGCAAACGGTACCGCCACAAGTTTGTCACAAGAATTCATTTGATATTTTTATTTTTATTTTTTGTGATTACATCTTATAAACTAGTGGTGTCAACATCTGGGCAAACCGTGACCATTATGGAGCTGAAGTAGCAGTTGGAAATCTAGGATTCGTGTAATTAGTGGATGGCGATAGCAGTTTTATGTCATTATCATAGGCACGCCATTGTGCTACGAGCTGTATAAGTTTGTTGATGGATGGTTTTAAGATTTGCAGCCCAAGAATTTGCTCTGCGAATTATTTTCTAAAACCGTTGTTTTCCTGAAGAATTATTGACTGAATCATGTGATTTGCTCTAACGAGTAAAATCATTTTTCTGAAAGGTAAAGTTCAGCAGTTCGTTCAGGAAAAAAAAGATCGTTTGCATGCATGACTGACACTCTGACAGGCTAGACTAATTGCTCAAGTGACCACTGAATTAAGTTTATAGACAAACCCACGATTTACTACTGAGATTATTAGCCTGATTTACACACTCGCATGTAAAGCGTTTCTTTTCATGACGTTCACGTTTCTCGTAATTCCTCCTTCAGGAGCACCGGAGACGACGATGTCGTGATAAAGATTCTGTACTGCGGGATCTGCCACTCTGACCTGCACAGTATCAAGAACGACTGGAAGAACGCCAAGTACCCCATGATCCCTGGGCACGAGATCGCCGGCGAGGTCACCGAGGCCGGCCAGAACGTGACCAAGTTCAAGGCCGGCGACCGCGTCGGCGTCGGGTGCATGGTAAACTCGTGCCAGTCCTGCGAGAGCTGCGACAAGGGCTTCGAGAACCACTGCCCGGGCATGATCTTCACCTACAACTCGGTCGACCGTGACGGCACCCTCACCTACGGCGGCTACTCCAGTATGGTGGTGGTGCAGGAGCGCTTCGTGGTCCGGTTCCCTGACGCCATGCCGCTGGACAAGGGCGCGCCCCTGCTGTGCGCCGGCATCACCGTGTACAGCCCCATGAAGTATCACGGGCTGAACGTTCCCGGGATGCACCTCGGCGTGCTGGGACTTGGCGGGCTGGGCCACGTCGCCGTCAAGTTCGGCAAGGCCTTCGGGATGAAGGTGACGGTGATCAGCTCGTCGCCGGGGAAGAAGCGGGAGGCTCTCGAAAGGCTAGGCGCCGACGCGTTCGTTGTCAGCAAGGACGCCGACGAGATGAAGGTATTTTTCCGGTGGAGAAGAAAACAGGAGCCCATGTCTGTTTATATTAGTATATTACTGCTCAATTTTGTGTTGCATTTGCAGGCTGCGATGAGCACCATGGATGGCATCATAAACACGGTGTCTGCAAACATTCCCATGGCCCCTCTCTTCGGGCTACTCAAGCCCAACGGCAAGATGGTCATGGTCGGCCTCCCAGAGAAGCCTATCGAGGTCCCTCCATTTGCTCTGGTTGCCAGTAAGTTCACCTCTCCGATCTCCGATCTCGCAACTGGAAGAAATCATGCGACCACAGGCATTTTGCGCGTAACTGATACATATATTGTGCGCGTGGCTGAATGTACAGGGAACAAGACCCTGGCCGGGAGCTGCATCGGCGGCATGAGGGACACCCAGGAGATGCTAGACCTCGCGGCGAAGCACGGTGTGACGGCAGACATCGAGGTGATCGGCGCGGAGTACGTGAACACGGCCATGGAGCGCCTTGCCAAGGCCGACGTCAGGTATCGATTCGTCATCGACATCGCCAACACGCTCGACAAGGCCGCCGCCGCCGCCACAACAACCGAGTGACCGCCGATGTAGCTGTCGGCACTGCTCACGGTCTACTTTGGTCTCTGGTTCTCTGCTATTATCACATACTTTATCTCTAGTAGTAACAATGAACAGTCTAAAATTATTGTCAGTGATGTATTTTTTAGACAAACTTGTCAGTGATGTATGCATGGTGCGATGTTGTTCGTGAGAAAAGTGCGTTGGATGATGGATGACAAGGTTGGCTTCTTGCCGGGATAATGGAGTACCTGCTTAGCTTCTCCCTGCTATGCAGTTATTGCGTGCACAGAGGAGGCTATCTGTACCTCGTAGCCACAATAACTACTCCATCCATTTCATCCTAGTATATCACATACTCCCGCCGTTCCTAAATATATTTGTCTTTTAGAGATTTCAAATGGACTACCACATACGGATGTACATAGACATATTTTAGAGTGTAGATTCACTCATTCACTTATTGTTATATCTAGAAAGACAAATATTTAGTAACTGAGAGAGTATATAGGAATTTTGTTCCGTTAACAGAGAAGGGAATATGTTTTAACACTCCAGAATTCACAAAGAAACGGCACACAAAGATGAGCTATCAAATAGGCAATCTATGTAACAGGTGGTGAAGTATGCGTGGCTATAACTGAAACATAACAAGTGTGTCCAGAGCACATCGCAACTGATTTACCCTCCTGAGTGACAATTGGGACGACGTGACGGTGATTCTAGAAGAAGGAGACCACAAGCCAGAACCCGGAGAAAGAAGACGCGGCTTGCAATGACCACGTGATGAACGCGAGGGCGACCGAGAGCTCGAACTGGCCGCAGGGCAGCCGCCGGTACTCGGCGCAGAACTTCACGTCCTTCATGAAGAAGATGGTCACGCTAGCCGCGGCGCAGGATCCCGAGAACATGAGAATCGCGAGGACCTGCAACGCATTCGCAATCGACGTGATCACTCGGGTGGATCTTTCCTAGCCCAAGATTCCTTCCAAGAACGGCTCGAGTCAAGGAAACGATTTCACCCGAAGTGAAACAGACTTACCCAGTCGCCGATGGCACGGAGCAGTACAAGTTCCGGCTCAGCGTGAAGATCCTTTTTGTTCCTCAAAGCAAAGATGTCCTGGCAAGCAAAGCCCATGCTCCACAGAAACTGCAGGACCAACGCTGTATTCAGGTAGCTGAAATAAAGGGAGACCATGATAGATACACTCGTTAGAGGGTGTCAGGCAGCTGAGTTCTGAAGAGTGGTCAAGAAATTTAAGACTCTATGCGCAGTTCATAGGCCTCGATGACATCAACTTGCTGCCACTTGTTACTCGAGTGATGCTCATGAATTTGCAAGAAAACGCACAAAAGGGAGGACACTCAAGAAAGGATTAGATTAGAAGAAAGGAGAGTGAAATTGGTAGCAGGGGGAGGGAGTACAAGTAGGCGCTGTAGTTGAGGGAGCCGAAGGCGGAGGACATGGCGGCGGAGGACGCGGCGGCGAAGACGCACTGCGACACACGCAGCGCCATGCCGCTCCATGTCCCTGGGCTCCCCACGACGCGCTTCATCCCCTGCCTGCCTGGGCTTCGCCTTCGCTCGCTGCGGAGAGGTGTCTAGCCGGGCAAGGTCTGTGCCACTCGGTGTGTGTACTTGGCTTGTGCGGGGTGAGATGGGAAAGGTGATGGCCAAGAGCGGAGCAGGAAGAGCTGAAACTGAACGAATATGAGGTGGGGTGCCTCTGCCTGGTTGTTTTCGAGATGCAGTTAAACGCAAATGAGGCAGTACCTCGACTAGCACTTGGAAACTTCGCGGTGCGTTCCTTGGCCAAATAATCCAAGTGTGCATTTCTTTCTGTTCACGCGGTTTGTCACCTTTGCCCTTCGTCCTAGCCTGCTTCCTTTCTGTTCTTTTGTTGGTCCTCCTACCCACAACGGTGCTAGCTTGATACGTCCTACTCCAAAGATCAAACTAGCTACTTGATGCCGACTCTACCTTGGTTTAGTATGTGCAAATAAATGAACCAGAAAAAAAATGCCATCATCTTTTCCATGTACGAGTAAGAGGTCCCATTGCCAAGAAATCCTGTGTTCTGCCGGGTTTTGGCTAGGAGAACCCACCCAACTTTACCCTTTAACCTTGCACCAGACGCGGAACTGCCTTCAATGATTCCAGAAGAAGGGATGATTCTGGGAGCGTGATAACACCATGGAATACATAAACGATAAACGGTGGCTGACGTTCGCTGCGGTAATATCCCGGCGAACGCCCCCAGAGTCACATGACCCTATGCAAAAGATGGTGGTTATTGACGAAAATTGCACCAAAATGTAAAGAATTGCCATGCTTTTCTGAAAACCACAACCACACAAACCACTAAAAATGCCATCCCGTGTGTTCGCAAATGCCTTGTGTGGCAGTGGCAACGAGTGTTCGCTGGCGATTAACGTCTGTAAGGGCATATTTATCCCCAAGATGTTTTGGTGATTGATGACAATGCTTGTGCGGACTAATCGCGTGCGTTAAGTTCCTTCGGAGATTCATCCTTTGGCACGAGACGATTATCTCCCCTCGGTGTTTTATTCAAGACGGTGTAGCTCCTTCGTTTCGTTGTTGGTGGACTAGTCCCGTAGGAGTCACCGTACTATCAAGAGGGGATCCGCTTTGGTAAGCCTAGGGTGGAATCAACACGTTCACATCCATATCACACCCGTCGTTTTCTTTCCACTTCATTGGAGCTGCCGTTTTCCCCTTAGTATGCTTTGCTCTGCCCCAGCGGTAGTACCGCGACCCACAACGGTAGTACCGCCGAAACTCCTCAGCGGTAGTACCGCTCTCAGAGCGGTAGTACCGCTCCAAGCGGTAGTACCGCTTGGCGTCTTCGACCGTAGTACCGCAGTGCTTCCGGGCTACTGCCGCCTCGATTCGAGAACGATGTTTTTCGTGTCGGGTTTTGCGGTACTAAGGGCGGTAGTTGTGGCCGTAGTACCGCTCCAAGCGGTAGTACCGCGCCTACCCCCACGGTAGTACCGCCCTGGGGTCAGGGCCCTGTCAGCGCGGTAGTACCGCTGGGTATGAGCAGTAGTACCGCCTAGAGCGGTAGTACCGCCCTTCCCTAGCGGTAGTACCGCTCTGTGCGGGGCTGCTCAGTGGGATAACGGTTGGATCGATCCTCCCACTATATAAAGGGGTCTTCTTCCCCAAAGTTGACCTACCTCTTTCCCCCAAAGCTCCATTGTTGCTCCAAGCTCCATTTTCGCCCGATCTCTCTCCCTAGCCAATTAAACTTGTTGATTTGCTCGGGATTGGTTGAGAAGGCCCAGATCTACACTTCCACCAAGAGAAATTTGATTCCCCCCACTTATCCCTAGCGGGTCTTGTTACTCTTGGGTGTTGAGCACCCTAGATGGTTGAGGTCACCTCGAAGCCATACTCCATTGTGGTGAAGCTTCGTGGTGTTGTTGGGAGCCTTCAAGTGTTGTGGAGATAGCCCCAATCTTGTTTGTAAAGGTCCGGTTGCCGCCTTCAAGGGCTCCAATAGTGGAATCACGGCATCTCGCATTGTGTGAGGGCGTGAGGAGATTACGGTGGCCCCAGTGGCTTCTTGGGGAGCATTGTGCCTCCACACCGCTTTAACGGAGACGTACTTCCCCTTACAAGGAAGGAACTTCGGTAACACATCCTCATCTCCACCGGCTCCACTCTTGGTTATCTTGTCCCTTTACTTTTGCAAGCTTACTTGAGTTGTATCTATTGCTTGCTTGTGTGCTTATTGTCTTTGCATCATATAGGTTGTCCACGTAGTTGCACATCTAGACAACCTATTTCATTGCAAGGTTTAAATTGTTAAAAAAAGTCTAAAATTTGTTAGTTGCCTATTCACCGCCCCCCTCTAGTCAACCTTATCGATCCTTTCAATTTGTATCAGAGCCTCATCTCTTTATTAAGGACTTTGCCGTCCGAAGAGTATGGTTGACACCCACGACGGTGCGGAGGAGCACTCCGGTGTGAATCCCATCTTGTCCACGGCCGAAGGGGGAGCCTCGGTCTCACGTGAGGAATTCAATGTGGCTTTAGACACATTGAAAACCTCCATGACGGCCGAGGTTAAAAGCATGTTTTCTGAATTCCTAGACGGACTTAAACTATCTACCTCGCCGATGAAAGTGGGTGATCCCACTAACAAGGTGACGGATGCTACCTCCAAGAAGGGGGGAGCTAACAGTGAAAAGAGTCCGTCTACTAGTGGTAGAAATGGCACCGGCATCTTTGCCAATGTGGAAACCCCAGTGTATAGAGGACCGATCCCTTCTACTCATTTGAATCATGCTGGTCCTCCTCCTAAATATGTGAAAAATGAAGATTCTGACTCTTGGGTTTATCGCTTCAAGCGTCACTTAAAATATGTGAACACTAACCTTTGGAGAATTATTGAAGAAGGTTTCTATCCTCATGATCCAAGCAACTTCACCCCTCGAGAAGAAGTGGACAATCAATTCAATGAGAGTGCTCTCTTCATCATCCAAGATGCAATCCTTCCCGAAGATCTCCCTCATCTTCGACCTCATGTCATGGCTAAAGAAGCATGGAAATGTGTTGAGTCTCTCTATCGAGGAAGTGCTAGCATTCAATGCTCCAACTATGAAGTGGTGCAAGATGAAGCCGATGAGTTTGCAATGAAAGAGGATGAAGAACCTCGTGAGCTCTTTCGAAGAGTGACCAAACTTGCGGTCGCACTCCAAGATCATGGGAGCAAGGACACGGATGACAACTGGATCAAGCGCAAGTTCCTCAAGGCCATGATGCTCTACAACAAGGCCATGTCCTCCGTCATTTGCCAAAGACCGGACTTCCACTCCATGACCTCAGGTGAAGTGTTGGATGAGTTTGTTGCAATGAGCATCTTGGACAAGACCGCCGACAATGCGGTGCTCCGTTCTCAAAGGGCAAAGAAGCACAATCTTGCCTTGAAGGCCAAGGTTAGTGTGGAAGAAGAAGAAGAAGAGGAAGATGAGGAGAGCAACCCCGAGGACACGAAGTATGATTATCATGAGCACATGGCTCTTGCCTCAAGACAATTTTGGAGTAAGAAGAATACAAGACCCAACTTCAACAAGAACAACTCAAGTGGCCTCAAGGGCAAGCAACGAGTTAGAACTTGTTTCAACTGTGGCAATGTTAGCCATTTCGTTGCGGATTGTCCTTACGAGAAGCGGGAAGACAATGGTGGCAAGTTCATCCTAAAAGACAAAGCCAAGTCCTTCCCCAACAAGAACAACTTCACAAAGAAGACTCCTACTCGCGGGTTGGTGGTTCAAGAAGAATACCGTGAGGATGACGATGATGATGAAGATGGTGAAACAATGGCCATGTCATCCGTTGCCATTGTCACAACTCCCCGGGTGTCTCTCTTCGATGCACCTACCGATAACATCACCGCCAAGTGCCTCATGGCTAAGGCCACCAACAAGGTGTTTGCTTCCGGTGGGGGATCATGGTTGCTCGATAGTGGAGCAACAAATCATATGACCGGGAGCAAGGACTTGGTGGTGGACGTGCACAAGATCCCATCTATGCCCACCAATGTCGAATGGGGTGATGCCTCACATTCTAAGGTATTGGGTCTTGGCAAGGTTGTCATTTCTCATGATCTAACGATCGAGAAAGTCATGCTTGTTGAGTCCCTTGCGTTCAATTTACTTTCCGTTCGTCAACTCGCACTCATGGGCTTTGCCACCTTCTTTGATATTGATACCGTGGCCCTCTTGTGGAGCAAGACTCTTAAAGTAGCCTTTGTTGGGCATGTCGAGAACGGTCTCTATGTGATTAACTTTTCGGAGCAACCCACTAAGACCGCGACATGCCTAATGGCTAAAGTTGATGTGGGATGGCTTTGGCATCGCCGTTTAGCCCACGTCAATATGAGATCTTTGCAAAGTCTTCTCAAGGGGGACCATGTTCATGGACTAACGAATGTTAGTTTTGCCAAAGATCGTGTTTGCAGTGCTTGTATCGAAGGAAAGCTTCATGAGATGGCTCACCCTCCCACGACTATCATCTACTCGAAGAGACACTTGGAGCTCCTGCACATGGACCTCTTCGGGCCTCCATCCTTTGATAGTCTTGGGGGTAGAAAGTATTGCTTGGTGATTGTGGATGATTATTCAAGATACACCTGGGTATACTTCTTCAAGAGGAAGAGTGAGACTCAACAAACCGTCATCGACTTTGCAAATGAAGCTCAACATTAACATAATGCAAAGATCCTGACAATAAGAAGTGACAACGGCACCGAGTTCAAGAACTGCACCTTGGATGAGTTTCTTAGTGATGAAGGGATCAAGCATCAATATTCTGCACCATATACCCCTCAACAAAATGGTGTTGCGGAGAGGAAGAACCGGACGTTGATGGATGCGGCAAGGACCATGATGGCGGAGTTCAAGTCTCCATACAACTTTTGGGCTGAAGCCATCAACACAGCATGTCATGCATCCAATCGGCTCTATCTCCGCAAAGGCTTGAACAAGACTCCGTATGAGATACTCACCGGGAACAAGCCCAATCTCAA